GTGAACTAACCCTTTAAACTTTTGTTTTGATGCTTGAAAACCCCTTTTCGTCTTTAACCCAAACTCAGAATACAGATATATAAGCTATAGCAATTCTGAGGAAAAAAGTCAGAATTGCTCAATATAAACTCAGAATTCTGACTTATTTTACATTTCGCAGTTCTGTTTTTTTGTTTCCACCACAGAAGAAAAATAAAAAAGGTATTGGCGACTTTTTGTTTTAATTCTGACTTTCCTTCTTAGAACTGAGCTTGTCCCACACTTCTGATTTTATATTTTGCAATTCTGACTTTTTTCAGACTGGAGCCTCAAGGTGAGCACGAGTCTGTGAAAGAGGCAACCTGAGCCAAAGCAATAAGCTGTGCGCGGTTAGAAACAACAGACAAAGAGACCAACGGGACGAGATCCGGATCCCCCCTCCACCTCACTGAACAAAAACAATCCCATAAACCACCGGGGACACAGCAGAGGCCCAAGAGACTTGCTTGTTTTCACATCCAGCCCTGAAATCTGATTGTGCAGGGATTATTAATTAATAAACCTTAGAAGGAAGTCCTGTGGGTAAGAGAGGCATAAACAGCAATCGTCTGAGATGTTTGATGAAAAATAAAACACCCAGCCCCTACAGCGGCAGAACCCGAAAACCACCGGCGTGTAGGTGTAAGAAAACATTTCATTGCATAATCAGAATATTTATACAGCTGAAATGTCAGACAATGATGCTATTTAAACACTTCCAGGCTGTTCAGAGTGGAATACTTGCTGACTACTTAACACTACACTGAATACACTGCCTACTGTTCCAGAAAGTAAGAATTATTCTGTGATAAACATTTAATAGTTATTTTCAGCTTATTTTAGTGCGGTGACAAACAACTGGTGTAGAAACTCGATAGCAAGGTTCACAAATTATTACAAAGAAACATCAACTGAAAAATTTTATTAAATTTAATTTTTGAAGTCAAAAAGTATATGTTCTAGCAAAACACTTTTTTTTTTTTT